ATTTGGCTAAGAAATCTGTCCTTCGAAGTAATTTGACCTCCTAAACACGAATATCACATAAGCTTAGCTGGACCCTCTTGGCGCCCCAGCCACAGGCGCCGGCGCCAAAATAATCCAAGTCATCGGCGTCTGTGGCGCGGGCGCCAGGTTTCGTGTCAAGCGGATGTGATATTCGTATGCAGGATGTCAGACTACCCAGTAAAGGGTAAATAGTACCTGGAGTCCAATTTCCACAACACCTCCCCTTTTGAAGAGGATTCTACGATTTTTCTTGGAATCCACTGTGAGTCGATGCAGTGTCGAAAGATTAGCCCCTGATCTGCTCTCCATTAATCTCGGCATGGCTTCAGTAATGATAAGATGTGTTCCTCGAGCGATCCGAGACTGTTACAAATGTTTGTCTGATCAACGTTCCGCCATATTGCCGTCTTTAGAGCCAGTGAATCGAAAGATATTTTCGGAACAATTTGACACAATCCCATTTCAAATTACATAACGAAAATTCGTAACTAAGCAGTTTATGAAGCGCTATCGTGAACAGGGCTAACCTTTTGAGAGATGTCTTCTAGTGCTTGAGGATCGAGCGGCAACGCTTTTGTATATATTTGAAACCCCTACATGGTCAAAGTGCTTTCAGGGAGATCTTGAGGTAACTGGGTGCGTGAAGGTCTCGAAATCGTGCCATCGTACCGATGGACGTGGCGTTTAATCGTTGTTTTCTGCGAGAGATTAAAGGAAGACGACATAGCATCACTGTCGAATGTCGTTGGCTAGAGCGGAGGGTTCCTTACAGGGTGGTGTAAGACCAAAAACTTCTAGCAGTCGGTCGACTATGGGATCGTTACCACTCGGTTTATTTGCATGTCGTGTTCATAATAAGTTCCCACAGCGTACCCTGTAGGTGACTCCTTCCTAGAGGTGCTACGATGCCGAGCATGAACTGCTCTTCACTCACCGGTAATCCTTGGCATTGACAGCGTCATCCAAATTGAAGTGGCGACGTCGGACACCGTGATGTTTGTTGAATTGGTGTTCAATTTTGGTGTGCCCTCATTCAATGTTCTCGTTGGAAGCGGGCATCATCAGTTGTATTTCTGTGCGTACTCGACGTCCCAGAAAGTTTTCGGCCGGCGACAGCTGATCTGGTCCCGAAATGCAGGGCGTTGAACGGTATGCCATCAGAAAGGTTTGAAGTGCATCCGATGTTGCTTCCTCCCTCATCCAATTGCCTAGTCCTCTCTTAAATTTATTCGCAAATAGCTCGGCCCCATTGCCTCGTGGATGAAAAGGAGAGGAGCGGGAGTGTTCGAGCCATGGCAGGAATCCTGGAATGATCTTGATGTGAACTCTGCGTCCTTATCCGTGATGAGGGCGGAATTCCAAGTTGCGCGAACAATTTTTTGGATTCTGATTGCTTCGAGAATGATCATACAACGACGGCGTAGAATGATCCGTCAAGAGCACCTGCAGAAATGTGGTGTACTTGGTCTTATCGCGTAGTTAACTTTTCCAGTAGTGAAGCTCGACGTTCACTGGGTTCTTGGCGATTTCATCAGAGGCAGTGAAATCCCTGACGAGCATATAGATGGCTAGTAAACTGTGAGCCAATATCTTCATTCTGGTTAGGCCTGGATGAGCTTTGTGGAGCGATTGCAGTAAACGACGTTGAAGCAACTCCGAGGTGATAATACGGCTCGAAGTCATCAGGCATGAGTCAGCAGGTGAAAGTGGCTTGCATCGGTTGTAGTAGCGCTGGAGTGGTGAACTGGGCTCGACTTCTGGTCAAGGTCTACCTCGAATACAATTGATGAGCGATCAAAAGTAGTTGCGGTCTGTACAATTTTGAAAGAGACTGGAACATGATTGCAGTGGTCCGTTACTCCGCCAATGACATTAGCGCCGATGGCAGCGATAACCTTATTTCTGCTACTAGTGCGAACAGACGTGAAAAAGGTCAGCTTGATCGAAAGCCTTGGTCCGCATGATTCCATTACTATCACTGTAATCGCAGTTCAGAAATATAGAAGCTTCATCGTTGAAGACAGTTGAACTCTTCTTCAGGTTTCTTTGATATTAGGTTGCTTACATCTTTTTATTCGATCTGGAGACGAGTATCTATAATTTGTGGTGGCAAGAATAGTGCTTTAAAAATTTAACCTCCCCCAGATTCCTGAATCCTTCTTCCCGCATTTTCACTGCAAGTACTCTCGCCACACTCGGTCGCCTTGAGCAGGAGCACATTACTATACCACTGATCATCCACAGAATTCTAGTCCTACTATCCTCAGTCTTTGATGCCTGTAGCACTAAGTGAACGTAGAAGGTCGCATGCTTACTCGTGACTATAATTTCCCACATTAGGGAACCTTCTGATACACATCGTGGTCACGCGCCATGCGCAAAATTCGATAACAATTTGAGATCCTCTGTAGCTCATAGGCGAGCCTGACTGGCTCGATAGGAACTAAGACGCTTAATCTTATCAAGCATGCATCTCAGAACCTAATCCGGGGACTACAGTACCCTCAATCAATTACGTACTGTCGGGCAGCACAGCAAGCGCTGCACTGTGACGCACCAACGCTGCGCTCGGTGGCGGTGAAACTACTCGATCTGATGGAATTCGGCTCAGATTTTCACTCTGGTGAAAGTGAGTTATTCTGACAATTTAGAATTGTGCTGACTCTGAATGAATCTGAAAGAATGTAAGCCATTTGAATAAATGCCTGAAATAAGGCAAAATACAAGGAAAAGAGCATAATAATCGACATAAAAATAAAGGAAATCAGAGCCAGTACAATTCAAAATTGGTCAGAATAACTCACCTTCCACTTTAGAAGCTTGAAGAGCTGAAAAAGTGGGAATTTGCAGCCGAATTCCATCGAAATCAGCTGATTCACCGTCACCGAGCCGCAGCCGCTGTCGCGTCACAGTGCAGCGCGGCTGTGCCGCCCCGACAGTACGTAATGATGAGGACTGTAGATGCGGTGTCACTGATGTCATGTATGTAGCACGTTGATGACGTGTCTTGAGACGTCACTGACATGACATAACCCAGGTTTTCTGGTCATTAGCGTGCTGAATGACGCGTCTCTCCCAACTTCCAACAGGTGTTGGTCCTCTGCTACAACTGCGCTTGCGTAGTAAATGGGCGTATTGAAGGCTTAGAAATATACGAATACTCCGCCTTTTTTCGATTATAATTTGGTGTTCAGAAGTATAACTGTTCTCTGGAAAAGTCAGCTTTGAAATGGGCTGCGCAGGCTCAATGCCGTATGATGCACTCGCAATGGCCTGGAATCGGAGAAAATCTTTTCTCAGGGGGATCTTACACGTTCATGGCTGCAGCTCAGGTAGGTCTCACCTATTTTCTGATGAAATACCGTGTTCAATAGAGGTATCCACTGATCGGTTTGCAAAATTTACCGTGGACATATGTGGTCTGAAAAAGTTGTAAATGGAGGAAACAGAGATTTTCTCCCTTTTTCTGAGAGAAAATCTCTGTTTTCTCCACTTCTAGAAGAATTATGCTTTAAACCTACTTGAAAACAGCGCCCGCGGTGGCCGTTTGCAGGTCGTAGAGCTGAGAATCATTGGGCTGCGTGGCAAGTGAGTGTTAGTGAAGGAAAGCACAAACTAAACCATCGACAACGCTCTACATAAGAGCCCGTGGGCTCTGATCGCTTCATAAGCCTACAGCGCAGAGTGACCGAGTGTAGAAAGGAGATCGAGATCGCTATATAGATACGATAGTAAAACGAAATGGCAAAGGTGGGTCAAGCTGTCGGAGGCGGAGCCAGGTTGTCGTCCTTAAGAAGTCGTGGCGTCTTCATCAAGCTTTCTCGAGTAGCGGAAGTGAGACATGCTGCGATTGCCGATCGCATTATCTTGTGCAGTGAAGGGCTTTCGAACGGATAATTGCGGACACCGCCTCGAAGGTGTCTGCAACAAGCGTTTTGTAACGTGGACCAAAATCTGGAACTTCATGTAGTCCGACCCTTATGTCATTTCAGAAAGCCGTGTTTCTGTGGGCAGATGAGATTCGGAAGTTCGGTGTCAGAAGAGACA